GCTATTGGATTGTTGTATTTCACTATACATATCACACATATACTAATGATTGACTGGTGCTCTGATTGTTGTACAAGGTACAAGTGCGTCTTTACAAAAGTACATTAACCCTCTCATTCTTAATCCTTTCCATTTTTCTAAAACAACGTACCTACATGCTTTCCTTTATATTTTATGTAACAACTGATAAAAGAAGCACAGCTAACTTAATCATTTCAAATAATTTCTTGCAGTCTCTGTATAAAATTTTATTTGCAAAATTTTGTATTTATTGTAAAATCATTGTACGTTGTACAAATTTCTAATCTTTAAGGTCAAGAGTTTCTGTATATTTACGTTATATGTATATTTCTGAATTTTGAAACGTTTTTAGAATTTACATTCGCATATGTTTTCTCTTCTGTTTTTTTAAACGTATTTTTAAAGATTGAACGAATTACATTAATTAATCACGTCAAAAGAAGATAATTTTTTTATTGCTAGCAATTTTTAAGTAACTTCATGAAATGGCCATAATTTCGCAACTGAAATAAGTTTAGTATATAGACATGCACTTATGACAGAATGAGAGAATTAGAGATTGATCAAAATTAAAGACTCATTAAAGATAATAGGTTAAACTAAGATTAAAAGAAATGCGTTAAAATATTGATATGTCAATAGTTTTATCTTTATTTAATCAAATAAAGTACATTCATTATTAAGTACATTAAAAAAAGTTTCTCGATTGTTTTGTTATACAAATATATGCGAAATGCATATGTATTATTGGCATAATATATGTATAATAGAATAAAAAACTTATAAATTTATTTGAACCGTTTAATCAAAAACAGAATTCTGAGGTTTAAATATATTGGTAAAGTAAAGAAAAAGAAGATTTATTCACCAGACAGTGGATAAGTAAAACAAAATGTGATAAAAAATATATATAATTTTATTTTGTTAATTGACCTAAGAATTATGTAACTTTATTGAATCGTGTAATTCTTATATGTCATAAAAACATCTTTAATTATAGGACATTTATTTCTGCGTCTATTTTACATTGGTAATGTATTTAATATGTGAAAAGGATTCTATATTACGTTCAGTGTGTTACATGTACTTCTATATGAGATTAGAACGCAATAAAAATATAATAATACTGATAACTTACGTTATCTTGAGACTTTATCTTTCCCTCATAAAATTTTTCCAGTGACGTATCGTACAGTTGTCGTACGTTAAAATCTAAGAAATTTCTTTGGAAAATATTTAAATATTAAAATCTCTTATTAGTTACCAAAGATTTTTTCAAATTAAATCTATTTAGAAAGTCTCATGAATGAAAATAATCTTGTTCTATTGTTGATTTTAAGTTAATTTAAAAATTTCAGATGTGATATACAAATATATTTTTGAACTAATTTAAAAAGTATGTTCAGATTTTAAGATAATGACAGAAATTATTGAAATTTAACTGTATGCCTTTACGAACACAGCTACCAATCTGGGGCAGCGTTTTTTTTTTTTCTTTTTCTTTTTACGTCATCAATGGCGCTTTCCTTCTGAAATTAACAGGTTTAGGATAGATGAAACGATTTTTATCGCAGAATATAATAAGTGAATCACACGTTGCTATCTATTATCTTAAATTTTTACTTGCATTTATAATATAATTAGAGAATATGATTTTCAACATTAAATGGACTATACTTACTCAAAGATAATTATTAACTGTTGTCAGCGAATGCAACAGAATCGCTGGTAATAATCGCGCGTATATCCCTAAATTCGATTCCTCAACTGTGCTTGTCAATTACATTCAAGTATTACAATATGCTGGTTACTCTTGAGAACATAAGTCAAAAATACTCAGCAAATGTGTGTGAGCTACGTAGCATATATACAAGATAGTTCATTTTTGTCAGATCAATCATTAATGACAAAATCTTCAACAAATTTTGGCGACACATCGTACATACTATCAAACATATTGATGTTTCTCTACAGATAGTACTGTGTGAAGTGTGTGTTGTGTGTACACGTGATGTAATACATAATCACAAGAATCTAATTTAATGAGCAATTACACTTCTCTCTCTAAATATGAAATAAATCACAATTAAAAAGTATTTCTATGATACTCGTATCGACAACTGGATATCTATTTAATGATCGTGAAGCACAACAACGAGTTTCACGAAGATCAAGCAGGAGCCAGACAATGACGCGAATATCTTATACACAGTTCTTTCCCCCTCAAATAAATTAAATAAGATATACTTAGGAATGTGTGGAAAAAAAAAATTTGGAGCGCAGATTTAAGTCTAAGACACCCAAAGAAAAGAAACTCTTATCAGCACATCATAAATAAAAATCTGTCGCTAAAACGACAATGTGATGTTCAAAAAGCACATTTTTTGGCACATCTAATTTACTAATTCAGTAAAGCACAATGGAGTAATATCGAACTAATTCACATGTGAACGTCCAAGTGTTACAGATGCCTCGTCCACAATTCCTATTATTTGAATAAGACAGAATCAGACTTAGAAGACATGAGTGTTTAGTTGTTTGGAAATGCGGTAATAGAAATTGTGTGTCGGACATCTCTGTCGGAATATACGCATATATACAGGGTGTTGCACAGTTTTAGGTACCTCGTGTAGACTCTTAGAGAATGACGATGGGATTTAGGAAAGATAGGTCAAGGAAAACTTGATTCTTGGCGTCTTCGACTTATATCTGAAGAAGGACAGATGGATCAAAAAACCTAATGTTAAAATTTAATACAAGTGACGCAACCTGTATGTACGCAATACTTGAGTTACTAATTTTCTTGATATGTGCCAGCAGTAAAGATTATTACATCTCTCTGTTATATCGCGTGATAAAGTAATTATCATTGACGAGTGCTTTTTTTTTTTAATATGAAATACGCGCAAAAGAGTCCGTTTCGTCTTAATTCCAAAAAGTAATGTAGTCAAATACATACATGAAATAAATTCGTATTTTTCACTTATCAAACTAATAAATTGGTTGATTTAAATAAACTAATTGGTTCAAAAAATAATGTAAACATAATTTAATTATCTTAGAAAATTTAAATTATAACTCTTTCCCCATAAAAAAAGCGATTAATTCTTGCGCACATATTCGTGATTTCATCAATCTGTCATACGATTGAGCTTACAGCGCTATAATGAAAATTATAGTACCGCGCGATAAAAGTATAAACAGTGCCATTTTAAAACATATTGAAATTTTACGCATACACAGTTCATTTGGCAGAGAGAAATTTATCTATACAAGCGCAATATGATACATAAAAGAATTATAAAACTAACGTGTTATGACTTCTCCATTTTCTTTTTTTCGCGGATCTGCGAAATTAATCGCGGAAGTATTATCGCTCGGTTTTCTTTTGCTGTCAAGTGTAGCTTACACTATTAAGCTTATACTTAACTAATCTGTAACAAAATAATCATCTCCAAAATGAAGCACTTTGATATTACGTTAAAACAAGCTGTGTCGTCATTTACAGTTTTCTACTGTTTCGCATAACGTCTATTAGTGGACACCAATGGGGGCCTATATATAACTAGGCCCATGAACAACATCTTCTATGACAGTCTTTGACTTTGGCATTATTTTAAATGAAGCAACAAATTATTCTATACTGCCTTTGTAATATACCCCATCCCATTTTACACACAAACACATAATATATGAGCATGCAATTCTTGTTAGTCAACTTTCACAAGTTAAAGCGAAACTAGATGTAAAAGAAAGCCTATTTTAAGTATTGGAAATGAAGAAATTTCTCTAGTTTAACTTCCTTATCTTTTTCTCTTTTTTTTCCCCTCTCGAATCGTGTAACGCATTTCTATATATTTATAATAACGAATATATTTATAATATACGAATCTATACATCATACAGAGTATTCGATTGTTTTGTGAAATTATTGTTGGAAGGCTGTAATTACAATACGCATTAATGTCATAGCTAAAATGAAACGAAGCGTGTTCGTGGGCTCAGCTATTGATTTAAATGATTCGTTATCACTCACAATCATTCGCACAAAACATATTACATTGTTCATCCAATTAATTCCTAACGATCAAACAATACTACCTGGGGTACTGCTAAGACCGATTGGCTGAGTATTTTCAACTAGCGTGGATCGCATGCTCGATGATGGAGCTTGAATGTCCGTTGCTGCTGTTCTCATTTCGCCAAAGGGTGCCCTAAAACATCAATACCGTTTTAAATATCTTCGAAAATGCTTATTTCCTTCTATCATGATAACATTATATTTATTACATTCCGAATAAGTTTATCACCTTCACTTTATCGCCAAGCATATTTAACACTTACATACACAGATATCTTTTTATAAGAAACAACAAATGTCATTATGCAGTCATTTAGAAGAACCTGTCACATGCACAAATATATGACATCCATTTTTCTATTCTAAAATCCCAGAATGGCATTGCCATTTTTCTCTTTTACGAATATTATTTTGTTAACACCAGATAATTTAGACAGAACGTTCCTCGATTCGATTGCTTTATAGATATTAAAAGTTATATAGTGTTCTTTTTTTTAGCTGAAAAATTCCAATAAACCCTCAAATATCACACATGCCAGAAAGCGATAACCTTGTTTTTACTATAATATTATTATGGGATTTCATTTCTCTTGCAAGACAACTTTATACGACAAATTAAATCTTAGAATTTTGTATAACGATTGCATAATTGATGCATTTAGTAATTACATTTAATAAATATATCTATTAAATTACATGTAATGATAAATTTACAATAAAAAACACTTTAAACATTTGCATTAAATAAACAAGATATACGAGATTGCATCGATCAACACTATAGCCAGGAATTGCTTGTGAAGCACAATTGGACGCAGTAATATTGCAATACACGTAAAATTTCAAATAATGAAATGCTTATAAAAAGTTTTAGAAGCAAATAATGCAACATGCTGATTGCGGAAACAAATTATTCAAACATTATTTATGTAATTCAATACTGAGATATTTTTAAGCCTTAAGATTTGAAAAAAATTCACGTTTTTCCTTCATAAAAATGATTAAGTTATTATTTTTATTTTACTTCTGTTATTAATATTTGTTAATCTTATTATTACATCTAGTTTTTTTTTACATAAATTATATCATATTCCATCACTATTTCAGTACTGAATTAGAGCAGCAAATTAGAGCAGCGAATTAGAGCAGCCAATAAGTCACAAATTAACAAGAAAGCTGAAACGAGCTGGTCATTTGAAATGGAGTATGCAAGGATTTATTGCGGTAGTAAATCTTGTATATTATTGCCTGGTTAGTGAAGTGGTGCAATGAATGTTTGATGATTTATGTAGGCCTCCAGACATCAGGATCCTCCATGAGAGTAGTATGATGATCTGTAGTAGGAGGCACTGTACCCTGTGGGGAACCCACGCCCGACGTCATTCCTGCTGGGTCGGGCCTGGACCCTCTATTATTATGTTATAAATTAGTAGGAAAACACACTTCAGATTATAATCAAAACAAAAACAAAATGAAATTCCTCTACAACATGATGTATCTCGCAGACCGCATATCGAAGCTTTTACATTAATGTTTATGAAGATGTACTATTCGATGCGACAAAATAAGACATTTTTCCCTCAATGTTCAACATAAACACTTTCCACAAACGTCTTCCACAGTTCTGACATGGTGTTCCATACAAATACGATAAATAATTTTGTAAAATTGTCTTGTAAAATATTTTCCCACAAACCAAAGCAATAGCATTAAAACACAAAGGCAAACACTATTAAAAAATTCGTCCACCTCAAAGCCAAAAGAAAAAAAGAGCAAAAAATGATATGCATTAAGATATTAAAAAAAAAAGACACATCACACATTATTTAATTGTACATAAATTAATGCAATATCAAATTAGATGAAAAATATTCAATAAATAGAAACAAAAGAGATGAAATAAACAGATAGTTGGTTTTTATAATTTAGGATCACATTAGTAACTTTTCGTCTATAAAATTATTTTAGTTCGATAATACAGATTTATAATATGCACTTAAAACTTTTTCATCAATGTGCGACATTGTAAAAGAATATAAAATAAATAAAAACAAAGCAATCATTAAAGTAGTTTAGAAACTAAGAAAAATACAATTGATATTGTAAGGCATTTAAAAAAATAACAATATTAGCGGTAAAGTTTTAAAAGTGCATTTTATATAATCTGCTCTATCAAAATAAATTTGATTTTGTTGACAAAAGATTATTGTCGGCAAATTACACTAAACATGTGCACTACAAATTTCCTCCTGAAATTTCTTTCACAATTAATAATCTCTCTTATCTCACATCCCTTTTCGATGAAATTTTCTTATTTGATTATTTAATAAAATTTTTGGAAGAATTATATTACTTACTTTTTCCCAAGAGACATCAATCCATATATTATACCCGTTGCAAATATTAAACCACTGCCAAATATACTACTCATTCCTGGGCATAGGAAGACTGCTGGCAACGCTATTCTAAATCAATGAATAATAAAGGCGATTTGATTTATTGCGACAATATTAAGAGTTTTATACTTTGAAAATTATCGAAAAGGCAAAGAAATAAAATACTTACAGACAATAAGCAGCTGCTCTATTCCAATATGGTTTTTTCTCCACCCAATCGCTTAAATTCTGTACAAAGTCGATGAACAAGCAGCAGCAAGGTGCTTCGATCATTACAACTAGGAAACCAGCTATCATTTGCCACATACCACTAATTAAGCAGTCAATTTGACCAAAAAGTATCGATGCGCAATTCCAGGCTCCAAGAAAAATTGCAACTGTAAGTAAACATGAAAATTTCTATACAAATTGTTTCTGCTATTTGAGAAATTGACAGCTTAAAGTGTTAATTTCTACATTTAATGTTGCAAAACTGTATTAACCAATGCATGCCGAGATAATTGTATATAATGAAATGGAAAAGTCAACAATATTTCGTAAAAATAAAACAGGCTAAAACTATAATTTTTATCTTGAATTGTGAAATTAAGTTAATTTTTTTATACAGATGCACATACACACATACACACATACACATATACCACGCACACACACACACACACACACAGCACACAGAGAATGAGAAAGAAGGGAAAGGAGAGGAGAGAGAGAGAGGAAGTGACATAGAGCACAGACACACATACATATAATATGAAAATACTATACAATGTACAAAAAAAAAAGGAAAAAAAGATAATTAACACAGAACAAATATCTTATTATAATTGCGTCATTGCACGCGTGAACTTACTTATACTGCCTACGGTACCGAGTCCACGGCCTGCATACTTCATCCACCAAGGCACATCATCCTTGGCAACAGGGTCCTGTCCAGGCCTTTGCATGATCGATGCTATTTTTTCGCCGAACGACTGAAAAATATATGCATATATAAATGTGATGGAAGTGCACGTATCGTGGAGCATGCTATCAATCGCACATTGAAAAATATATTACCATTTTCGACGTTTTATATTATTATCCTTTTGTCTCGTCAGCTGAGAATGCTGACAACACGGTTAGTATCAGTTGTATATGCACTACTGATATGTACAGAAAATCGACCCGCTAGTTTCACGTCTGCCTTCACGAGGGCGCATCATATGCCTGATACACACTATTTCTGTGCGCGCTTTTTAAAGATATATATATATTATATATATATACATATATATATATTTCTAATTATACCTTTAATTACTTATCTCTTAATTAATTATACATGTAATCTAGTTCTTAATTAAAGAGGTTTTATTTAAACAGTGCGAAGGAATTAAAAAGTCGAGTACATACAAACGTAGTAAAATTATTTATTTATTATATGTGAATTTATTGATGTAAAAAGTGAAAAAATACATTGTTCTTAACTCATTCATTCAGACTTATATATACATGTACTCTAATTCTTAATACTATATTGTCAAATAACTATCAATTACAAAAAAATACAAATACTCAATTTTATAAAACTTACGGATTACTTGAAATAATTCAATTTGCAGACGTAATAATTAAGTAAGGTAAGGAGAAACTAGAAATAGAAACGAAATATAAATAAAAAAGGCCTATACGTTTAATCTGAATTGAAAAACAAATATGTCGCCTCTGTGATATTCAATAATTAAATAAACGTCATACGTATAATAAGCAGAGGTATTGTTCAATAATAAATTTTCTCAATTATTCTTTTTTGTTCTCGTTATGCTATCCATTATATCTTGTAAATGTGCTTTGTAATATTAAAATATTTATTATATCAAGATAGCTTATTCATTTTAAGAGACGACACAATGTAATAATTTGGTTTATCGTTGAAAGAAACACCTGTCTTATTTTTCACTTTTGTACAATTAAAAAAATTTATTGAAAATTGCGGCAAATATTTTTACGTGTATATTGAATTTTGCAACTTAAGCAAAAGTACTACTTTTCTATTTTATGTATGTAATTTTTTAAATTAATTTTTCAGGGTGAGCTGCATAAGTATTAGGCGATATCTCCTGTTTAACGGACAACGTAACTAGATTTCCTCGCAATGGATTTCACTTTTTTATTGACCTTAGCTTGCATGGTTTGTCCTGAAAATGTATGTAATTTTAAAAATTATTAATTTTTAAATTACTAATTTTAAAGTTTATATACATTTTCAGGACAAGTTATGCAAGTTGAGGTCAATACAAAAGTGAACGATCATTGCGAGGATAGTTACGTTGTCCGTTAAATAGGATGAGATACTAGTTATTGAATTGATCTCATACTTTTGCAACTCACCCTGAAAAATTAGTAATTTAAAAAATTATATACATAAAATAGAAAAGTAGTACTTTTGCTGCAAAATTCAATATATATGTAAAAATGTTTGCTGCAATTTTCAATAAATTTTTTAAATTGTACAAAAAAAAGTGGAAAATAAGACAGGTGTTTTTTTTTCCAACAATAAACCTAATTATTACATTATGTCGTCTCTTAAGATGAATAAGCTTGGTATATAAAAAAATTTTAATATTACAAGCACATTTACAAGATATAATTGACAGTAATAAAGAGAATAAAAAAGAATAATTGAGAAAATTTATTAAAGAGCAATACTTCTGCTTATTATTATACGTATGACGTTTACTTAATTATTTAATTATTAATATCATAGAGGCGACATTTGTTTTTCAACTTAGATTGAGCGTATAGGCCATCCTTTTCGTTTAATACTTCGTTTTTACCTCCAGTTTCATTCCTTACCATATTTCCTTAAACATATACACGATATTTACAATGCATTTCTCATTTCACTCATTTCTTCCGGTTTCTCAAACTGCGAGTTGGAAGGGGTGACGCAGGCACTACATCTGCGGAAGGCTCGATATCTGTGAATGAGTCATTAGCGATAAACAACTTCTTTCTACGCGTCACGCGTTTCTCCGTCGATTCTTCCGGCGGAGGCAAAGCGTTGCGCCTCGTGCTGCGTTTCGATTCTGATCCGGACAGTTCGATGATTGACTCATCCTCTTTGGCGGACGACGCAACCTTCTTCCCTCGTCGTCTGGTCAGACGTTGACCCAGAGTTTCGTCCTCCGACATATCGCAGTGATCCTTCAGTTTTGCACTGATCTCATATTTCTGCAATCTATCCTGAAGAATCTCTATACGATTTTGTAATTTCCTATAGTCATCTTTATTAGGCGTGGGTGTCAATTGTCTACGTTGGAATAATTCTTGAAACCTCTTCACTTCCCTCTTCTCTCTGTCCAATTCCTCTTGCAGATTCTTCACCAGCATTTCGTACTTGGTCACCGTCTCGTCTCGGTTCTTCATGAACGTTTCCATTTCGCGCTCCTTCTCAACCAAATTGATCTTCATTTCGTCGTTCAACTTTCGCAATCGTTCATTTTCGACTTGCCGTTCTTTCGCGCTATCCTCCAGCATATTGAATATCTTTATATTTCTCTCAGAATTTTCCATATGAATTTTTAGTTCCTTGATGTGCTGCTCCTTTTCGAGAAGCGTTTCCTTCATCTGCATTAATTCGCCCAATTTACTTTTCAACTCCGCCTCCATCGCGCCATCGTTCCTTTCCATGTTCTCGGTTTGCTGTATCATGCGTTTCAGTTCTTTCTGCAAAGTCGTGATCTCGGTATCCTTTTCTTGCTCTTTGACAGTCGTTTCCTGCAATTGGTTGTTAAGTTGCAACAATTTCTCATCATTCTCGTGAAGTACCTTTTGCATGCAATCCATCTCCGTTCGACAGGTTTTCAAGTTTTTGTTCAACTGAACGATGACATCCTTCAGCTTGTCTACAGCTTTCAGACTCATTTCCAGTTGCAACACCTTTTCCGCATACTCATCTAGTTGTTTTACATTTGTGTCTTTTGTATCGTCTATTTCTTCTTTTATCGGGACAGATTCGTCTGACGCGCGAGTCTCTTTTTCCTCTTTATGTTTGGATATAAAGTTATCGAATTCTTTCTGAGTTGCTTCCAGCTTCTCCAGATACTGTTGAGCATTTTCTTTGGCAGCGGAAAGATGTTTCTCCAACTGATCAATTTCACGTTTATATTCCTCAATCTTTTGCTTTGAAATCTTGTCAGAGCACTGTAGAGTTTCTTCCATTTTTCGTTTCTCTTCTGCAGCAAGCGACAGTTGTTCCTCGAGTGCTTTAGCGGAATGCATATATTCATCTATGACAGCTTTATTCGTATTATTTTCCTCTCTTAAAGCCTCCATCGTTTTTTTCATATCGAATAACTCTTCGGTCAACTCTTTGATTTTCAAACATTCCTGTTTGTATTGCGTTTGAATGTCATCGTATCGTGCAGTCAATTGTTCCAATTGCAATTTAGCGTCCTCCACAATTTTATCAGTTTGAACAGCTTCCTCTTTCAGAGATACTTCGTGATAACTGGTTTGAGTATCTTCTGTCGTTGTTGATATTGCAATAGTCTGAATGCTCCTGTTCAATTTGTCTTCAATATCCACCTGACAGCCTGTTTCCACCAATATCTGTGAAGATTTACACGCAGTATCGGGCTTTTCTTTCAAAATAGAGTCTGCATCGGTTTCGCTAGATACTTCTTCTGTTCTTTCTTGCGTGATATTATTCGTATCTATTGATATGTCAGTAATATATTCTTTCTTTATAACAATCTCTTCGTCAGATGTCTTCGACATCGATTTCTCGGAAGACTCGAGTAATGCCAAATTTTCATTTTTCAACCGTTCAATTTCGTTTTGCAGCTCTAACACTTTATTCTCGGCATCGAACAACTTTTCATCTTGACGTTCCAATTTCTTTTCAAGCAACTCTACTGATCTAGATTTTTCCGTAAAGCACAAGTTAATTTGTTCCAGATCCGATTCTAAATCTTCAATTTTATCTTCGTGTTCTACTATAATCTTTGCTTGCTCATCAATGTAAAGTTCTCTCTTCCTTAAATCAGATGTAATAGTGATATATTCTTCTTTTGCTTCATTGAGAAATTCTTTGAGCTTTTTAATCTGCTCCTCTTTAGTCAGCAATTGCAATCCCATTTCCTTTATGTAAAGTTTACCATCGTGATCAAAATTGAGATCCTTCTGAGCAGCTTCTAGAAGATTTTTCGCTACTTTTAGATCCTCCTTTGACAATCCCAGTTCGAAGAAAGCTTTATTTTTCTCTACTATTAAAGTTTCGTTCATTACTTTCAGTTCGGTCAGTGCCTTTTTCAGAGTTTCATTCTTTTCTCTCAATTTTGCATTCTCTTGATTTAATTCTTTTCGAATTGACTGAAGATCATCATCTTCGTCGCTACTGTCATCACTGCAATTGCTATGTTTTCTCTTCCTCTTAGACAGTTGTTTCAACTTTTCCTGGTAAAATTCTTCAACTTGTTTCACATTCCATTCAAGATCATCCTCATGCTGGCTTTCCACATCGTTTATACGTTGCTTCCAATCAACTTCAAGCTCGTTTATCATCGCAATGTACTTTTTGGCCATTTCCTGTCGACTCTGAAAATCTCGAATTATAGCTGAATTCTTCAAAAGAGCAATTTCCTTCTTTAATTCTTCATTTTCATTTGTGAGGTCTATATATTCTTCCGAAGTAATATATTCCGTGATATTCTCCTCCACAGTATGTTGCCAATCGCCACTTTCTAATTCTGTAGCATCCCAATCCGTCACCGTTTGTATACTTTGCGTGACTATTTTTGAGAATCTCGACTTCAATTTCTTCTGTATTTGCTTCTTCTTTTCTATAATTATCTTTTTCGCAATCGCAGCAAAATTGAGAACATTTTGGGTCTCAATATAGAGATTTGGCATAGGATTGACGTTAACTATTAAAGCTAGATGTTCCTTTCCTGATAATGCTCGTTGAAATAATCTGGTCAGTTTAGATTCTCTAAACGGTCCAATAGCTTCCGTTTTACTTCTTGCCAATTGTCCTTCGTGAATCGATTTCAAGCATCTGCCTAATACTAGTAAACTAGTGTTAATATTCTGCGCTTCTTTCAATCTGTCTCCGATGTTCAACGTCTTTTTTAAGCGTTCAGAGCCCGCCAAATCACAGAAAGAAAACCTGTGTGAATATTTAATATTTCAATATTTAATATAAAGCATTAATACATAGATTTTTAGATAAATCATTACAAAATATTATATACGATATACGTACGTGCTCACTTCAACCGCGTCAGGTGAATTTTCTGTATAATACTTTAATAACATAATTGTGAATATGCAATGAGATCTTGAGCTTTTTGCATTCAATGCAGTCGCAGCTACTTTTAAGTTATATTGCCCTGCCATCAAAATTTGATAGGCTTCTTCCGCCGAATTAACATAAAGAGTTTTCAACCCTTTAATAAATGCTCTACCATTGGAGTCTGTTCCCAGTTTTAAAGGCATTCTCTTCTTTTGTGGTTCAGTTGACAACAAATCGTATACAATTTCGTTATAAATTTCTGCAAATGAAACCCAAATCGAATAGTGAGCATCATGACATTGACTGGGACGAATCGATTCTTCTTGCAACAACTTTTGCATCTGTTTATATGAATTTATGTACTGATGCTTATCCACTGAACTAAACGTTAGCAGCTTGGTTTTTGCTTCAAGCTCCTGTGCACGTTCAAGTGCATTAAGATTGACCACGTTGCAATAATGCAATGGTTTATAAGATGGGTTTGGTCTTGTTGTAATATTTGCAAATACAAACTCCAGCGCTCGTGGTATAAGTCCGGGTGAAGTATTGGTCCCTTGCAACGTGTACGACTTTCCTGAATTTGTAGTTCCTACAAAATTGAATCTTCAATATTACCGCACCCTTAATGCTTCAAAGATAAAATTAATTTAACATTGATTTAAAAAAACATAGATGCAAGATAATACTGTATATCTGAGACATTTTTGTCACCACACATCATATTTCTTACCATATGTCATTATAGTGCAATTGTGTCCAGCTAAGAACTCTATCATTTGCTGCTGTACCGTTTGCTTGAATAATTCTAATTGAGTGGTTTCTGGACCAAATGTTTGTGAAAAGGTAAATTTTTTCCCCATTATTTCACTGCTTCTGTATTGTTTAATGGAACTTATATTATTATCTACCATTGGTAGCTTTGTGACCAATGTTGTAGAACTTATTATTTTGTAAGCGTCTTGTTGTTCTTCCGTTAATTTTAATTTCTTTGGAAATGGTTTAAGTCGAAGATATACTTTGACAGTTTGTAAGGTCTGTGATTCGGAATGCTCAGATTCATTTTCATTAGAGAAATTGCTTTCTTCTACTTCATACAATGAAAGCAGATTTTTTTTTGTATCCTTTGATGGAAAAGGCCTCTGACTGTATGCTAAAATACTTGGATCTCTACCAAATAGATATGACATGTCTTCCTGAGGGTTCTCAGATGGACGGATCGAGTCCAGTGTATTTTCCATCTGTAATTAAAAAATATATATAGTTGTATAATTACCTAATGCTTCAAACATAAAAATAATTTCAATGTAAAATTATAATTTCATAAATCTAACAATTTCAATAATTGCAATTCATACAATATAAATTATAGTGTACCCAAAAAATTTTATAAAAATAATCAATGAAATATATATATTTAATTCAAAACTTTCAACATGAAGCCAAACTTATATAATGTGCTTAAGTGAAAAAAGTTCATATAAATTTATGTCCAAAAATGCTTTATTAAAAAGTTATAACATATCAGATAAAATTATTGACTTAACAACAAATAATTTTCAGTTATTCTCAGTTTTAATCTGTTATTGCCTTGATCTGTTATTGTTTTGATATGACCTTTCAAGTTCTGTGGCAGAAATCATGATTTTTAATATGAATTGTTATAAAAAATGATTCTGCTTTGAACACTAGAACACTGCTTTAAACTTATAACTTTTTAATAAAGTATTTTTGGACATAAGTTTATCTAAACTTTTTGTCCTACTCAATTTCATTAATACATTGTAAAAATTTGACCTCAACCTTTGTGAATATCCTATGTTAGTTGTTGATGATTTTTATCTCAACATATATATGTATAAAATACACTGCATTTTTGCAAAAAACTTATGTATTTAAATTTTTTATCAAGTTTAATCTAACTTGAACAAATTGTTACAAACTGTTCAAAAACAAACCTTATTAAACTTGTTGAGAAACACTTTCTACTTTTTAAAGTAATAAATCCGATTTGTATGCTGCTCAGCACGTAATTAAGCAATAAATATAAAAATGAGATAAAATGTAATACATAAAATCAACACTCATTCCTCACATTCGTTGCACTGTCTATAGCAGAATGTTCGTACGCGGCAAACGGTTAAGCTTTCTCAAATCTTGTTTTGAAGGAGAATGCTTCCATTGGATTGGCAGTTGATTTAACGATGTCGCGCATTGCCACCATGAAACAAATTGATAGTAGAAGCCTCTCGTGGAGAAATTGTAAAATACAACTGATGCAATGTTCTTATATTTAGGTAACTTCATGTGTAGCAAGTTTTAGGTTTATTTTTGACGTTACTTATCTTACAAAAAGTTTTTAGAGTGTATTGATTAACTGCCCTGCAGAATGGAAAATTTATATTGCAATTTTTATGAGATAAAGGACATCTGGGCATCGATTGCGTATTAAGCAATTTGATGTAAAAAAATTTATTTTCTAGAAATGAATATGACTTAATAAAATCTCTAGAAAGTGCGTTTTCCTATTGGATAGAATCCGACGCTGTATGAATCCATCATAATGTAGTTCTTATTGGTGAGAATTGATTAACTATGCCATCTTGCGTAAAAAAATCGACGCCTTCATGAAACTCGGAGTGATTTTGGATAGTGAAAACATGTATATGTTATAAACTTTTCGTGACATAATTGTGAGAATCGTGAATCGTGACAATCGATTTGGGTTGGTGTAAGGCATTTCATTATTCCACGTTATTTGGATTTACAGAAAACTAATAATATTCTGTGCGTAAAAAGAAATAACAAAAGTGTTGTGATAACTCATATTAAAGGTATTATAATATACATATTTTGTTTTAACAAATTAGTAAAATGTGGTTAATTTTTTCACAATCATTGCTAACATGTACACACACACATATGTATATACATATACAATGAATATTATTTTCTTTTTTTCTTGCTTAATGATTTAATTGTACTCTTGTATTTTGGATTATTCTTTTTTTTATACTTGTAATCGATGAAATTACTTTGTCAATATTGCTACTTCTGAAATAAATACTTAATGTACACATCTGCAATAGCAATAATTTTTCTCATCTTTTACATATGCAAAATTAGGCATTACCAAACAGTGACAATGGCAGACGCAGCAATGGATAACTCTGGTAGACTTATGAAGATGGAAGTGGATTACAGCAACACTTGCGATACAAAAATTCCAGAATGCAAGAAGCTTGCTTTGGAAGACAAGCTACATGATGCTTTAGATCAATTATTAGCCTTAGAGAAACTTACCAGAACTGTTAAGTATATATTCGAATAAGATTTCAATCTTATTATTTTTATCATTTATTAATAGAAGTTTTTCTACTCTTTTATATGTAGGGTGCTGATATGACATCAACGTCAAGAGTTCTTGTAGCCATTGTTGAAATCTGCTTAGAAGCAAAGAATTGGTCAGCACTTAATGAACATATAATTATATTATCGAAGAGACGCTCCCAACTTAAACAGGCCGTTACAAAGATGGTTCAAGAATGTTGTACTTACGTAGACAAAATGCCTAATAAAGAAACTATGGTCAAGTTAATAGAAACTCTTCGTTCAGTTACAGAAGGAAAGGTAAACTATATTTTTAATTTATAATGAAATTATATAGTCTAGTTTGTAATATTTTATGTTGGAGCTGATTATCTTTGTACTTAATTTTATTTTAAAAGCGAAAGTTTTCAATGCGTTTTATCTTGTCGAGACAACTTGCTACAATGTTTTAAATCATTTAACAAGAATATCAATAGGTTAATGTAACTTAATAAAATTTTTAGATTTATTTGCTAATTATATAAAATTATATAATGTAATAATATAATGCAATTATATAATTTTATATAATTTATATTGAAAATTATGTTTAACTGAAAATTGATTGTAGATATATGTGGAAGTGGAAAGAGCAAGACTTACTCATCGTTTAGCTAAAATAAAAGAAGCGGAAGGAGACACTACTGGTGCTGCAACTGTAATGCTTGAATTACAGGTATATAGTTTTTAGCAATAGTGAAGATTCTACTGAAAAAGTAACTAGTAAAATAATTCACTGTAAAATTGTATAAATTAGAGTGCAATACTAAATAACTTGTTGCATAGGTGGAAACATATGGCAGTATGTCGCGTAGAGAAAAAGCCTCTCTTATTCTGGAACAAATGAGACTTTGCTTAGCTAAGCAAGACTTTATGAGAACGCAAATTATTGCGAAGAAAATTAATGTTAAGTTCTTCAGCGATGAGAACGATGAAGAAACCCAGGCTTTAAAATTAAAATATTACGAGTATGTATGTTATGTATAAGTTTAGGTTCAACCATAAACAGCTTTAATAAATCATGTTTTGTGTTTAGTTTAATGATGGAATTGGCTCGTCATGAAGGTTGGCATTTGGAATTGTGCCGACATAATCGAGCAGTATTAGAAACTCCAGCAATCCGAGATGATCCGGAGAAAAGACATACTGCACTTTCCAGGGCAGTTTTGTATCTTGTGCTTGCTCCACACGAACCTGAGCAGGCTGATTTGACTCATAGATTACTCGCTGATAAACTCTTGGATGAGATACCCACATACAAGTAAAGATTATAACCACAAAATATTGAAAATATTTATTTTTGATTCTAAGAGCAATTTGATCCACAGGGAATTACTGCGTCTGTTTGTAAATCCCGAATTGATAAAATGGTCGGGATTGTGCGAAATTTATGAAAAAGATCTGAGATCAACTGAAGTTTTTTCTTCTTCTACAGAAGAAGGCCGCAAGCGATGGGCAGATCTGCGAAACCGTGTTGTGGAACATGTAAGTTATACAGATTTAGAAGCTGATTAAAGAAAATCTATTTATAATTAGTCGAAAATATAATTTGTTTTTTCAAAATTTGATATTTTTGGAAAAGATTTTATTTTTAATCATTATATAACTGAAGAATATTGTAGATGCCTTAAAATTTTCTTTAAAACAAATTATTAGACATAAAAATTTCAATTTGAAGGAACTGCATTTGATGAAAGAATCTTTTATACATGTATTATATTATTAAAAAACTGTTTTCTTTGTAGAATATCAGAATTATGGCCAAATATTACACCAAGATTACGTTAACTCGCATGGCTGAGTTACTAGATCTTCCGACTGAAGAAACAGAATCATGTCTTTGCAATCTAGTAGAGACTGGAGTAATCAATGCGCGTACAGATCGTCCAGCTGGCGTAGTACGTTTCACCAGTACGCAAGAGCCAGCTGCTCTCTTAGACGCATGGGCTGCATCATTATCGAAACTGATGGGTCTTGTCAACCATACAACGCATTTAATTCATCAGGAAGAAATGTTAGCTGTGGCGCAATCTTAAAATTGATATAAAATGTATAATATATGCTTGTGTATATTACTTATATTTCTTACGCATTTAAAATTTGCTCTCATTAAACATTAACACTACATTAGCATTGGTACTACATCGTTTATAGATTTATTAACTCAACTAACCGTTTAGTTTCAAATTTTGATTGCAAAAATACTGTGTATTAAATATTCCTGTGTACACGTTCCAATCTAACTATTATATTTGAATAATATCTGTCTTAAATATAATTGAACATAGAGGTTTTTTTTTATCAGAGTGTCGTGTATTACGAATAATATTTTCTACTTTGTCCATCTATTTTGAAAGTAGTATTATAATAAACATATGAAAAGTACAAATTATCCGTTTACATTTAATATATCATATACGAAACATAATAATAAAAAATAATTTGAAACCATTGAAATCTATGCCAGATATACTCTCTTTTTCTCCTGTATAACGTCGTGCTCCATCTCTTTTCTATCGCGAGTTATCTTTGTCTCACATGTCGGCTGCGAGTACTCCGTTTCTATCCTTTCCAGTTCGTTTTTTCTCACTCACACATCCCTTATTTCTCTCTTTCTTGCATGCGTTGTCAGATCGTTTGTTTCCGTCTGACTCAGCCATCGCTATCTTCTTTCTTTCTCTTGCGCATGCGCATCCCACGAGAGGCACGCAGTGTGGCGCCGCGAGCCGAACGTTCGTTTAGTCTCGAACTTCGCGTTGTTCGTAACGGATTGCTTTTCCGTGGTCACGGTTCTTCTTCCACGCTCGACCGGCCCCATGGAGAACCGAGGGCCTAGCAGGTGCAGTGTAGTGTCAAAATAAAAGAACAAAGAAGGAGAGTGGAAAAGAAAGAAGCGAAACGACGAAAGATGAGCGCAAGATATGCGCTCGCGACGCGAACGGCAACGACTCGATTGAGCAGGGAATTCGATATTGTTTCGAGGTACAGCAACATCCTACGCGCATAGTTTTCTCGATTATTTATTAAATATAAGGTGACACTTTATGATACCGATATTACATCTTTTGACAAATCTTCCTGCAATCAAGATCGAGACACTGAAACAAATACAAAATTCGAACAATTACGAGGGCACCTTACGCGCGCGAAAAGGCTGCTGGCGAACGTCACGAAGTTGCGCGTTGATCGCACAATCAATTCGATAGACCAAGAAGAAGGAAATCGCGTTTGAATGATCGATTTGTTAGAAAAGGTGATTGCCGAAAGTTGCGAGAGTGCGTCGAGTGCAGGTTTAGCAACGAATTCCGTTAAAGAAAGCTGTTCGATCAGCAAGCTCATTGGAATTTACGGAAGGTTAGGTTAGGTAGAATCGCAAAATTTTCAAGAAAGAGCAAGAGAGAGACGGAGAAAAAGAAGCAGATGCCAGGATAGCAATCTTTTGGGATGTCGATATACAGGAAGTGGATTCTGTGGCCGACGAGAACGCGTTTTCGACGCTTCACGAAACCGCCGATGATCCATCGTAGCTGAGATCGATCATCACGTTGTGGAACTTCCTTTGGTACTTCGACAATTCCGTCGCGACACTAACCCGCTCGAGTTGGCGAACGTCGTCGAGAGAAGGAAAGGATCATTTCACTGTTAGGCGCTGCAACGCCGCGTGACAATAACGTGAAATTATCTTGGGAAGATTCAAAAAAAGGAGCAGCAGGTGAGAATTATTTACTGTAATTGCTACTGTCGATAGATCCACGCTAATGAAGTTCAAGATTTAGCAAATTATATTTGTGCGATTAACTTACATGCTCGTCCGCATAGACATCTTACGAAAATGTGTGTGATTTCAAAAATTATGATATTCAAATATTGGCATAGCCAAATTGCGTCTTACAGATTAAACATTTCTCCAAATTATTGTTATTATTTTATACCGATTTTAAAAATCAAGACAAACTCTTAAATATTATTAAATTTTTTAAGCATTAAATTTAAATTTTCTTAATTGCAAAGCAAGGATGTGAGCAGTGCCTGCAAATCTGTTAATTAGGGTGATTGAAAAATAAAATAAACAACATACGTTCTTAATATTAATACAAAAATTAGGAAGTAAAATCAAGATTAATTTTGCAATCACGTCACTTTGTGAATTTATTATTTCAATCAATTCTTAAAAACAATTCAAAACAGTTACATTTTTATCGAAACGTTTATACAGAAATAATTTTGCGAAATCGTTGATGATAATTTTGGAAAAAAAACGAGAGTATCTAAGCAAAAGGCGCGTGACAATAACTAATTGCCGGATGGATAATGCCAACTTAACAGTCACTTTAAATAACGACGTTATGCAACGTTGAAACGAGCCCAAGGCTTCGCCCGTTTGTTCGTTGGGCAGCTCATCGGTGCACTTCGTTGTGGGCGAGCTTTAACCAAATACGCAACATCAAGGTTCAAATTGCGACGTACCGTTAAGCCGTGGGTTTTGATAGACGTTTCGAACAATCATTAGTTAAATGCAAGCGATTTCAGAGCGAGTTTACCGACTGTGTGTACGCGACGTAGTGACTGTCGTGACTGGTGGATTAACTTAACTTCTCTGAGTTTAATCTGCACAATCTCATGGTATCGATTTTGTAAAACTTGCGGTAATTGCCGTAGATTTCTATGCAATCAAGCGGATGCTGTGCGTCGGTATTAAAGTCATTAAAAACTTTTTCCACTTTTGTGTGCAGGCGTTGAAGTCTCCGGTGATTCCAACGCGTGTCCCTCTGTTTCGACACAAGTATCAGTATCCAAACATCTACGTGCATCAATTAATTCGTTTTTGTTGATCTTTATATTATCGCACATTTCTAAATTATTAATAATAATTATCAGTTTTGCAATATTACGTACAATTAGATAATACTTATTCAACAGATTATACTGAATTTAAAGTATTCGAAAGATATGAATATTGGATAAGGATTTATGTTAAAATTATATTGAAAACATAACTCGTATTCTATTGAAGAATGTAATACATAGGTATTTTCTCTAATTTTCTAATAGTGAAAGGGGAATTTACAGGCCTGGGACTGTTCTCACATAAATAACGTTCGTTATATTGTCCTTGAATTATCGTTATATTATCTTTTTTCAATCACTCGCCGCGCACGAACCAAAGCAAATTATTTCTGCGACAGCTGTTTCCGCCGCTGAAATGTCCACTTCCTCTACTTAAATTATTTGATTTTGTGGTTCACAAACACAATATTAATAATTGTATATAAAAAATTTCTAAAGAAATATATGTTGATATTATACAAATAATTTTTTTAAATAATCCATCTAATGGTGTAGTTATATTATCGATCCATTTATCGGTTCAGTTTAAAAAATCTAATATTTAATTACTTTCAAGAAAGCGGATATTTAAAAAATGAAAATGATATTTAAAAAATTACAACAAAAAGAAATAATGTAATATTGAAACGAAAATGTGACAGTAAAACAATTTTTGTTACATCTTTTTAACGCAAAAATTTGTATTGGTTGTAATAAGATATAAGATAAAAAGATAATAATTGTAAAATATAATAAATCTAATAAATATTGTTTAGCGATTCGCGCTGAACCGACAATATTCTGTTTTTATCAAAAAAGCACCTTTGCTTATTTTTTAAAAGAACATTTTTTTCCACTTTGGACTGAAACAACAAGGAGTACGTACTTAGTTAGTCGCGATCGCAGATCTAATGAGATGTAAAAAAAAAAAATGTAGAAAGATCGCGGTGGAGTAGCGCTCGCGGGAAATTCCCGCGGTCTCGTAAATCACAGAGGCACGCGGCGATAATACATCCGGCGCCAGCCCTCGAAAAGGGCTCGGCAATCGCGCGAAAATGGCCACGCATCCATGGTGGTCCGGTGGCGGTCGAGGTCGGCCGTGTGTTTCATCGTCGTCATCGTCGCCGCCGCCTATCGTGATGTGTTCTAAAAAGTGAACGTTGCATCGTGCACAACCGCCGCCGCCGCCTTCGCGAACGGGCATGTCGCTTTCTCAGCATGCTGCGAGAACGCCTGCACACCCAAACGTGAACCGAGCCTCCGCCGCATACTAACCCACCTGAAAACGTCCACCGTCGCGCTCGTCGAGGTCGGCCTCAACCCTCGCTCGGGGTGACGTCATGACGCAGGGTAGCGCCGTATTTTTTTTTTTGCACATTCTCAGACTTCCACTTTAGGCGAGAAAAATATAGAGTCCCGTGCTGATTTATGGGGATATTAGGCGATGGTTCTTCAAGGACTTTTTTTATGGATTAGACATAAATAGCATAAGAAATGATAGAGAATTAAAAACGAGCTCAAGGTAGACAAGGAGAATGATTTAGCGATAGGAAAAAAATGGTTCGAAGCGAAATTGGTTCAATTGTATTCCAAAATGCATTTCGAATAGATAGATACACATTATTCTTCCAACAATGTATAATAATTAAAAAGTTTATTAGATTTTATGAAGCAGATTGATGTTTCGTAATAAATAATCATTTATAATTATATATAATATACATAATAAAATATTTCCCAATATTTATGATACGAGTAAATGTTTATCAACATATATAAGTATCTGTTCTATTTATATTTGTGAATTTAATGTTTTTCAAATATTCTCTTCTCAAGAATTTGACCAAATCACCTTGATTAAAGCTGTTGGAAGAAAGGAGTTTTATTGCAGCTAATAAAATACTGATAAGAAATATCTATCTTGCGGACGAGCGTGATAAGCACGATGAGAGCCCACAAAGCGCGCACCTTACGATATAGCCGCGGCATCGCTGAAATGTAATTGCAAGGTTTTGCGATGTATAGGAAGCGGCGAATCTTTGAATTCGCCGCTTCTCGTACAATAGAGACAATGTTTGCGCGGTCGATCGTACTTACAGGAGTTCGACCCAGTTATTAATAAGACTTTCTCTTTTATTTTAGCCATGGACTGGAGGGGGATTGTGCTGGCATTTTTGGTGGTGAGTAAAATACAAAAAAAGACATTAATTTTTTATCAGGCACGAAAAATTTACGCTTGAACGAAGCGTAGACATGATAATCCTTCGAGCGGCTTGATTCTTCTGCGCCTTCTGCTTTACTTCTTGCAATATGCAAATTAAAATGTGTCTAAATTTACATATCTACGTTATAGAAAAATATTTATTATATTAGTAATGTAAAAAGTAATATCATTTCTAGCATTTTGGCTATATTTTTTATTATGTATTTATTATAATTGATTATTATATAATTATTATTATTGATTATTATATAATTAATATTTTCTATTTTTTCATGTTATATATTTAATATGAAGTTTTATCATTTTAACAGTTTGCGCAATTTGCTCGCGCAACAAATGTTTGATTTATTTTATACTTGTGTTAACTGCCGAAGTTCACATCGGTTATAATTGTTCTCAATCTAATTGCGTTATGCAATTTGCACGAGGCAAAGCTGACATAATGCCGAATAACAATAGTGACGCGCAAAAAGGAAGTACGCGATCAAAATGGCACTTCTATCCCGCGATTGTTCCGTCATTGATTTTATCGAAAGAAATGGATTGCGATCGATTATCCTTGCACTCGGCTCGACGTCCTAAAGCCGAAGGACGAACAGGTAATATATAATCGGGAATACGCATTAGCATTCGCACTCACCATCATTTCGAATAGCGTGGATTAATGGCGCTCGCAGTGCATACATACACTTTCTCTCGTGCGTGCCGCGTCATACACGCGTGTTAGTTAGGTATGTGTTGCATTATGTAATCCTTTGTTGGCATGTAACGCGCATCCCAGAAAAAGTGTGACTACTAACGTAAGCCTTCACGAAATAGCCGCGGGCGTAATATTCAAATCGACGCGCTCGTCAGAGAAAATTTGACAAATAATCCTCTCGAGAAAGCAACCTGACGGCTTTCGAACGGTTTTCAAACATATGGACAAGAATACACGCGCACGAGATTTCCTTCCCAAGCAAAGGTGTGTCATTGACTTTGGCTTTTTGAATTATCTACGAAGGAATACATTCGACTGATATTGATTTGAATTTGTTTGTAACGTGAAAGTTTATTGATTACGGAAAGAAAATGATTAATAGGAAAGTAGAAAACGAAATAAAAATAATAAATAAAATAAATTCTTACATCTTGCTTATGTTATTTTCTGGTTAATTTTATAGGTTGTGGATTAACGAATAACTTTCTAAACTTTATTGAAACATCAGAAGAAAATTTAGATTTTTTTTCTTACAGTTTATATTAGTTGGCTAATTATAATTTAACAATGTAACGTATACTGTATTTTTAAAGCAAGGATTATAGCTTGCAATGGCCTTGAAATCAAATTACGGTAATTCGGGTGTCGGTTTTGTTGTTCGCGGCGGTTTCGGAGAACATATTATGTCACTATTCCGACAATACTCGTGGGATCGTTCATGTGATAAAAATGCTGGTGGATCTTAATGTCGTTAACACATTCAGAAGACGGTAATCCGCGGCGTTATGTAACACGTAATAATTGACAATTAAGCTAACTTGGCGTTTACGCTCACCTTAGGTCTCCAACGACAGGATCTTTGTAACGCGCGTCGCTAATGGGCGGTGTGGTATAACAATTAACTGCTTCCGTTTATTTTTATAAAACTTTCCATTGTTAACATGCATCGCTTACGTAAAATGTGAAATTAATGAATAGTTTGTGTAAAGTAGCGTATGACTTCATTTTATAAGTTATAACATTGAAATGTTAAGAAAAATTCTGATTTACGGCTTATAAAGTTAATTAGCCGATTAAAATTTATAATGTAATATATTGTATTTTTAATTCAAGGATTGCAGCTGAATTGAAAATTCAGGCTATTTCATTATTCTTTCAAGTAATCAGCAAGGCACGTACGCCTCATTTACTTTTCCATTTACAATTTTATATCACTCAGAATTTAATGGCACAAATAAATCTTGCACATTATTTCTCAAAAAGATTTCATCTTAAAAGCAAAGCATTAAAAAACACTAAAAATACTTATTCATTTAACACACATTCCAATTTTACAGGCTAAAAATGCGCAACTTGATTATGCAAACTAAAATCTCGTGCTCGCCTGACATGAAATTGCGTGTTTCTCGTTTAGTGCCAGAATATCATGAAAAAACGTACACACTTAATGTTGTATAAATAACTTTAATATATTTGTAAAAATCTCTTATGAGAAAGTGTTTTGCGAAGTAGAATCCAAGTTTCTTTTTTCTTTTTCACCGGTGAAGCGTGGACGGGAAAAGAGGGTTCGCGTGTCGAGTGTTATTGGAACACCCCATCCATATAAGAAGAAAAGACAATCCGTTCGGAACCGCCACGCCCACTTTTACTTCATGTTCTTTTAAATATCGACGCCGGGATCTTAGAGAGCCCGCTCACGCTGGCGCGTTTCCCGGACACTTCGCTCCGCGGTAGAATAGCACAGAAGACCATCGATAGCCGGAAGTGCGACGCTAAATATCACATTTCTCTTTACGAAACTCGTCAGACGCTGGCAATCTATCAAATTTTCAATATATGTCGCATTTTTTTCCCCTTTGCGAGCTTTTTATTCGAAAGAGAAAATTTAAAAAATTAATATTCATAAGTCGGGAATTATTCTTTGGTTGACAATAATTGCATTGTCGAGGAGAAAATTTTTCAAGCGTTTCGGGCTCTCTCTTTGTTAGAGATGCAATAGAAAAGACGATAACACTCTTTGCAAACATTCTATGTGATGTAGTAGCGGAAAGTCAATGGAAACGTGTGTGCTGACAAGGAGAAAGTAAAAAATCTCGTGTGACAAATATGTACATTCTGTTTTTGTTCACGGGATTTGATGTCTCAGAACCACCTAACGTTCTGTGAATGATAAGTTCTTTAACTAATTTGTGGTTAACTTTTTAAGCCAATAATTTTCGAGTTGTAAATAATTGATTTTTGGAGAATTGAACTTCAAAGAGTTAAATAGATGACGAAACTATATTTTTCAGTTACTTTCAGTGAAATTTAATAGGATTGTAATTTGAGTCTTAATTAAATGTACATATAATGCAAAAACTAGAAAAATTGTAATAAAGTTTTTGAGGGAAAATCAATATTAAATTAGTCCATCCATTGTTAAGAGAATGTACGTAGATTTTGAAACACTCTGTATAAGCATCTTTTAACGTGTCGAGCTGTTTATTCATTCATTCAGCACATTCGCCAAATTAGGATTCGCTAATCGAACAAGCCGATTTATTAGAAATCATCCGATTGATGTCGATACGATTGTATCCGAAGGACTCGCGTGGGTGCGCGTTAAAGTTCGGAAGTTCGTCGTGGATGAACGTAATCTCTTCGCCTACGCGAAATGACACATAATGTGAATGCAACAATCTGGAATTAAAAAAAAAAAAAGAAACTCATAGAATTTTTAATAACATTAACAACTTATTTAACGAAATAAGAATTATTTTTCTTCAGATGGTTTATATTATGCGATAAAATTCTAGATATTTTTTTCTTCCGGCGACCTCGTCATCATAACGATCGTTTCCACACGAAATACTTAAACTGTTTCTGACGTAATCGCCGCTTCGCTCACGGCATCAATTCACGACGTCACGGGGGCCACGCGCCGCGACAGGAATTGCATGTACAAGAGCGACTAAGTAACTAAGTAAGAGTCCCTGAACATATTTCCAATAGCCGAAGGAGCGAGTAATGGGCGGCGATTTCAAGGAGAACGCAGCCCACGCAAGATCCGCGATCTCGCGGTCATTCGTCGATTGGTTGTCGCGTTCGTCGCTCCAATTACCCATTAAACTACTAGACGTTTAAGGGTCGCCTCTAACGACTGCACATCGACTGCAAAAATTACTAATTGCTGCACGATGTCAGCGTCAATTTGATTTAATTGCATTATTAATAAGAGCATGATAATTTGACGATTAATAGTTTGTTTTGATGTATTATGAATTGCGAATAATGAGAAAATTGATCGACAAAGGCTTTAAGCGAATACTTTCCGATTTTTTCTTACAAAACTCATTTCAAACGTAATTTGCGACAAAATTTTATTTATAATTTTCCGCGCTGTGTGGAGGAAACATTTGGAGAATCAAAGTGCATATTAGTAATACGTAAATTTGGAACACCTTATAATTTTTAGATAAAGCCAAATACAACTATTTTATTGCATATACGAGTTTCGAAATGTTTCTTTGTATCGCACAAGACATGAAGTTATAAATAGAATTTTATCTCGAATTTTTCTACAATTTGCGGATCGTCGAAGCGGGTTTTATGAAAGACGCGCTGGTTTCGCAGATGGAGTGAAGCGTTGTGGAAGGTCAGTCGTCGATGGATTCCATCAGATGGAACGTCGCGGACCATATATGGTCCGGTCTGCCGTTGGCGGGTGACTCCGCGCGCCGCTTTATCGAGGTATCGCCGGACTGTTTTCGCGTTTGTAACGTCCAACGCGTTTCGATCCAATTGTACAACGCATCAGGGATCGCCTCCGGGCGATATTGTCGATTTCGCGATAACCCGCCTTGCGCCGTAGATCAAATTAATGAAACGGTATCTCGCGACAAAAGTCGGGCTACCAAGCGCGATACCCTCACTGCCGCCTTCACTTCGGCGCGTTAGATAGACAGTCACAAATATATATAGTTTACGGGAGAAGTGCAGGGGACCACGTCGCTCCGTGTGTATACACTTGAATGGTCAGTGACTCGCTAGACCACTTTCATTGCACGGACGAACACGCGCTCGACCACGCTGACGTCAGTTCACCGCGAAGACTCCTCTGGCGAAACTTTCCGTCGAATAAATAAACGCCGTCATACAAATAAACGCTGAAGCGCACGTAGTAATTTCCATCCCGGTTCTTTCGATTTCCTCGATAGCCTCTAAAGTCGCTCGACTGTTGCTTTCATGCAGATACACTTGATCGCACTCGTTGCTGAATCGGAATATCTCAATTGGAAATGACGCAAAATGCTGGGAGCAATAATTAAATAGTTACACAAAAAGTAAAAAAAAAGCTCAAATAAATAAAATATATTATTCAAAGACGCGCACACATGTGACTTTTAATCGCTTACGATCAGAATTGCGCAAGATTTATTTCGAGTATCGATACAAAAATAACAAACAACATTAAAAAACTTAGTTTTAAATAATGAACAAGTTTTTATTTCTATTTGTATTGGAATTTATTCAAACAAAATTTGTTTTTCATAATTACTGAATAATTACTGAAAATTGAAAGATGTAGAAAATGAGTGGAAGTTAATTGATTTACTTTTTTTGAATGAAAAATTACTTGTTATTTATAAATGATATTTATTTTTCCGCAAAATTAAAAAAGTGTATTAAAGCGATAAGAGCGACTTTTAATAAACGCTTAAATTGCGACTTGCGCTGTTATCGATTAAATCGTCCAGCATGATCTACATATCCCTCGCATTACGATTACATGACTGCATGTTTCGCGTTACGCGAAATTAACTGCGATCCCAAGACACACTGCGGTAATGAGTCTCGAATTAGATAGATGGAGGGCAATTACGATGCACTTGTGTGTCTCGTCGCAGTTAATCTAAAAATAGATTCGCGGCATTACGTCGGATAGAGTAATTAGACGTGATCTTACTACGCGAATACGTTAACGCGCTGACATGTCTTTTTCATTATCAAACCGGACCCGCTCGCGTCTTTTCGCGCGATGTACAAAGACTCGTCTTCACTCGTCTCATTAACAATCTTGTAACACGAAAGAGCTTCCAGGTTTCACTGAAGAGATTAATCACTGTTTCATCACTTCATTTCCCCTGCGTATTCAAATAACGAGTACGCTCGTGTTTTAATCTGATTTTCTTTTAACGGCGGCCTTGCGGGATAAGCTTTCCTTTCTATCGCGAATGTCGCAAGCTACGCCGAACCTTGCGTTCGAACGATCATTTATTTTAATATTTCTTTGGTCGTCGAATTCAATTTATTTATTTATTCGTAAACGAAACGTTAAAACGGCATGATTCATACATCCTGGAAAGCGAATAGCGACGATCGAGCCTGTGTCATGCTTGACATTTTCACGAGACTTTCATGGCGCGCACTTAAATCGAATACCGATCAATCATTGTGCCGCATCGATGAAATTAATACCTCGACATGAAATATACGTCGGAAGATTACATGTACAACGCATTTAAAAAAATCTTCGAAGCGCTTGAAATTATATTGCTCGGCCCGAAAATTATAGATAATATTATCGCCAATTTGTTCGACGTATGAAGCGAGGAACATCGATTAAAGCGACAAATTGACCATTAACGAAATTATCATGGAGATGTTTCTTTCTAATTGTCCAAAGACATAACCGTTTCACAACGACGTGACGTAAAATCGCGCGGCTAATAGTATCTCCTACTCGAAAATAGCATTGCAGTTAATACGCGCGCGTTATGAGGCGCATTACGCTATTGCTGTCAAAGCGGATAATGCTATCGCAAAATTGTTTAGAAAGTTCACAGATGAGGAGTCACGTCAGACTCGAATCGCGAGATAAATCGTCGCTCGCTGACGCACACGCATCGCGGATACAGTGGCTGATTGATCGTAATTACGCGCGTTACTTTAACGAGCGCGCGCACATCCGCAACGTTTTACAGTTCCCGAGAGAGAACCGAATGCCTTTTTTTTTTTCCCTCTTTCTCTCTCGACAACCAGCATCGCGCACCGTCTATTTCATCATTGACTTCAGCGCGAGCGCCGATGATATCACACCGCCAATTGTGGCAACTTGCTCCGTCACCGGGAATAATCCCCGCCACCCCGACAAATACGAACCGGTAAAAGTGACGGAGACACCGCGCGCGCGCGCGCGCTCTCTTTTTCCACACGACTCTTTCTCTCGATGTTTACCTAACGTACCTTGTGCGCAGTTTTACGTAACGTTTTCCACGCGATCCGTTTCCCGTTTACGGGAATCTTTTTCCGCGTCTCATCCCATTGTGGATCGTTTCGCTGCATATTCATGTCGAAGGTATCCCCGAGTCGCTGATCTTAAGAGCGGCTTCGAAGGCATTTCGCGAAAAACTTATCACGTTCTCGCTTCGGCATCGGGAAACACTTTGCATGTTTATTTCGCACGCTGAAGAGTATTTACTCCTAATAATTTTCTTATTTAAGTATTTATTCAGGCGCATTACAATATCGCGTGCGTTGCGCTGTTCTAATTGCGTGCTCGAGCGATATACGCTCGCCAGCGACGGCTAACATGGGCGATGGCGCGGCTAAGTTAGCGCTAACAATTGTATCTTGTTAAAGCGAGGAGATCTAAAAACATTGCCTTTCCCCTCTTTTCAGATCACAATAACGAGGCACGGCGGTGCACACGCAGCCCAGATACCTCAGCAGCTGCCAACGTGTGAGTATAACTTTCTAATTGTCAGCGACGGCGATTGCTAATTAAAGCGAATCAATTAGAAGCTCGATGCCGCGTTCGCGGGATCGAGGAAAATTCGCGACACGCCACTGGCGTCTGTTCCTTTTGTCTCTTTCTTCTCCACCTCGATGCAAACACGCGGACTCTCTCCCGTAGAAAAATCGCACGCGTGCGCGCGCGCGGTTCTACGCGAAGCCAAAGTGGCGGATAATCAGATAAAAGTGGACGCTTTCCACATGATGCGCACTTTCTAATGACGGCACAATACCGCCTGATGACAATGATTTGAGGGGGGGGGGGCACGCTTGGGGAATAACGAAGTATAACAGTTTGCGCGTAATTACTGGAAAGTAATCGACCTCTCGGGTATATTCGTGCTCACTTGAATTATTGCCCGGCAGAGAGGTTCAATTAATTACGCGGGTTAATTGCCTGCATGTCTGCGGACTAGTCGCGCATTCGAACACACGAGCCGAAGACCATCTCGAGGTTTTTATCCGCGCTTGACATATTTATTTATTTGCGCGATTCAAAATGCTGCTCTTATCAATACATCGGAATTGTATTAAACATGGAAATGTGAAAAACTTCCGGCACGAAGACAGTACGAAATCATTAAATCGTGCTGTTAAATTAACCACGTCCAATTACCCGCGCGCGCGATAATTACCGAAATTAGCGAAGGGAATCGTTCGCTTCTGAAGAATCGTTTGTCGATAATTGACAATTAAAAAAAAAGCAGAGATTTAATTCGCCAGAAAAGTAGATTTTCAGAATATATTTAACGATAAATTGAAAGAAGGAACATTTACCTTTCTTACGTCGGCGAGATCGAGGAGAGTGATTAATCGAGCCGCGGACGGATAATTTAACGAAAGGGAAAAGCGTGGTTCGGAAGAGAGTCTCTCCGGACGAAACCGACTGGCGACCTTCCTTGGAAGACATTGCTTTTGCTGGAAGGTGAACGCAGCCGTGCGACCTAGATACTCATGTGGAAAGGAGCCGGAGCCGTGCTCGCGAGGCGGGACAGAGAGGAAACGATGCGAGATGCAAACGGCACGAAACGAGATGACGATTATTAACAGGGACGAGCGATGGATACCGCGTGATATATCCTTCGTGGCATCGGCGCGAATCGAAAGTCCCCTGTAATGTGCAGACGGCGGACACTTTCAGCCTTTTACCTCACGCAGCCGAAGACCGGCGAGTCGAATTTCACTCGTCGTATCGACGGAAGTACGGCGGCGTGTACGCGGTATATAATAGAGTCGCCTATTTTCGCGTCCGGCGAAATCGTGTCTCCGCCGTGGATTTATCACGATTCAACGTCGATCGGGCTAAATCGCCGCGGAACGCGCTAATCTCGCCCGTTAGATCCGTACGTGTAGGAAAAGCCGCGAGTGAAAGTGAGCGATATCCTTTTTTGAACCTTATTTAAATTCTTTTTTAAATTCTTTTTTAGAATCTTCTTCTTTACTTTGTTAGCTTCGCGATATTAATGAAGTTAATTTTAATTATTCTCGTTAATTTTGTTAATAGAAGCGATTAATAAGATTGGCTTTATTTCAATTTTATTTTAATATCGATATAGCTTTTTTTCATTGTCAGTTGAGAGTATTTCCGGAAAATATTATACAACCTGTTTAAATAAATGAATGCTTGAGATAAAGTAACACGAGATTAAGTCGCATGAATGTTGGCTGTTTGACGCGAATCTAAAAGTGGCATTCCAGACGAGTGGACTGCATACTCGTAATTTCCCCGGTGATTTTAGCACTAGACACTCAGGCGTAATAAGGTGACGATTAATGAGCGAGACGAACGCAGCGATTTTCCTCAGCGACAGTGACGAATTGAAAGTCTTCGTCGAAGCCGCCTGCGGCTACTTTCGGACTTTTACTTTTTGTTGTTTGTTCCGCCAGAACATCATCGCGAGATGTAGGAAAATGAAATTGTTCTGTTCTGCCCTGATAACAAACCGGTCGCGTGCCTTCTGCGTCATAATTAAGAAGCTTCATTCATCCACGCAACTATATGTATACAATTTCGCTTCGAGAGATTTGCAATTATTGCATTGCAAATAGTCAGACGAAATGCAAATAGTCGGACGCGGTTGCAGCATTGTTTAACGTCCCGCAGACTGTTGTTTCTTCACTCCCGGGAAACCGCGCCTTCTAAGAAAGTATTATTTTCGCCCCTACTTTCGCATGCAAATGTTTGCTCGCAAGGGACGAGGCGCTATTATTCTCGCAAGCGTTACAACACATTACAACGCGTTACAATTGCACGCCCGTACACGTCTGGCCGTGTCAATTGTCGCGCTAAACGTTAAGTCGTCGCAGCGCGTTATTTCTTTCTCGTTGAACATTGGCATAAAAAAATCCGAGCGTTGAAAAGTAGATTATTCCGCTTGTCGGCCGGCGCGAATTAAAAACGCATTAAAAAACGAGTCGGAGAAACCATCGCTTTCTGCTGGAAAAAATCGCGACCTTAATTGGGCGCGCTCTTGTGCCAGATATGTTCTAAAATCAGCGGCTGGAAATTATTTTTGCAGAAAGCGAAAGAGAGGATCTCGCTTCCAATGTGGCTTCCAATGTCGGAGATAGATAAATCACACTAATGAATGAGTGCACGCGATACTCCGGAAAAAATGCTTAATTCCTGAGAAAATGTCGGATTGATATAATGGAAGACGCGAGGACACATCGCAAAAAAATCTGGGACGTGCGAATCGGATTGTCCGCGTTCAACGCGTTTCGCGTATTTGAATGCGTGGTCGTTTTACATTCTCGAGGAATTTTTCACACTGCCTTTATTCATGAGTAAAACTGCTGTCACTTGTTAGCGCGTGATAAGATAATTGAAGACTGCGGATGTTGTACTTGTTGCGAGGATTAAAAACGGATTTATTAAGTTATTAATTTATCTATGAACGAAAAAAATGTCTTTGGTACAATATTAACTTGCAATTGATATAAAATATGCAATTAAAGCTTATTTAAATATCGTGGTATTTGATAATTCTGGAGAGAATATTTATAATTTTATGCGCCGTAATACAGAAAACAAATTATTTTGAATGTAAAAAGTTTTTAATTTGAAAAATCTTTGAATAATTTTAGTATTTGAAAAATCGTACAATAGATATTTATACAAAATATATGTATATTTTATATACGTGTCGTATAATTTTTCAAATAGTTTTCGTTAGATAAAATTAGAAATAGATGTCTATCTGGAATTCTGCGGCAAATTATAAATCTAAAGCAGAGACTGTTCTTGTCGATAAGAATCGAGAAGAAATCTCACCAGTCCTCTCCGGAAGACGTAATCGTACTCGCGCAAATGCGAGTTCTCTTGCGAAATCCAGCCGATTGAATCAGCGACGTAAATCTGTGTGTACACGAAACATCCATTCGCCGGGATTTCCGCCCACGCGCGTATACGCGGTGTCCGTACAAGTAATCGATATCTTTCGCGATTAAAGCCGCAGAATTACGACTTGCGAAAATTTGTCTTGCGCACAGTCGGAATTTATTTATGGCGAATTATTTGCAGCCATAACCGAGGCTCTTTGATATCAAAGAAATCATTTATCATCGATTTATCGATCGATTCCGTTGCTCTCTCGCTACGACTCTCGCTGCAACGAATTAATTATTCGCTTAGCTTTACGTCATTGGACGCTCGTAGGCAGGCTAATCTGCTTTACACTCTACCGTTGACTTGCGACGTCATTATCTTTTAATCTAACTTCATCATTACGACGCACTTACATCACAATGCCCGGCGTTCAGTCCGACGCCTCAGCAAGCCAGATGTAATGATTCAATACTTTTTTTTTTTTCGTAGATACAGCTGTCCGTCCGATTTTTTGCTTCTAGTTGAGATAATAAATTGTGTTAAATGACGGTTGTCTTTTGTGCCACAAGTACGACTTCTTTTTCACAGACAAGAGTAATTAACATCGCGTCAGAGTAATTGTCCATTTTTCAATATGCTTTTGTGAAATCATTCGATTGATAAGCGTTGTGAAAATGCTGCAAAGATTTATCGATGACATTTATGACAGAGGGACTTTTTAAAGAGGTATTTTCCACTCCGCGATGTTGAACTCGCATTGAACGTTCGCGTTCGCGATAATTCGGATCCGGCTGCAAATTCAACCTTGACGTTAAGTGCCTTTCGTTGACTCCACAATAGAGTGATTGGCGAACTGTGTTCAAACGCGTTCGCACGCGTACAACACGCGATGGCGTACCGTGCCGCCTGTCCATAATTACCGCCGGTGACCCGTGACTGGCGGGTTATAAAAGGACCGTAAATATGATGAGCGAGAGGTTATAAATGATCCCGCTTGACGATGATCGCCGGATCGTTAAACGGTCAGCGGCGCCTGATGTTTGCGGTCGCGGCTGGTCCCCTTTTTGAGGTTCCGACGCTGTTCCGTTAGTCGCGAATTTATTCTGATCGGTTTTCACGATCCGTTTAAATGCGAAAATCAACACCTGGCGCGTAGCAATTACGGAATAGCCTGTAGTTAACGGTCGCAACCCGTTAGACGACTGAACGTACACGGTCGTTGTCAAATTAAAAGTATTTCTTTTGACCGAGATTCGAAATTATATGCCTTTAAGTACAATAACGAGGCCTTCGGTTCAGTGCGAGAAATCACTAACGCTTCGAAGAAAACGAGGTTTAAAGATTTTCGAAGTTAAAGTTTATAACAGAAAAGAATAACGTTTGTTACTTGACATATTTTTAATGCATCTGAAAAATCTGTTATCTATTATATTACTTTATATTTTATATTTATATTATATATCTTTTGAGTGATGAAATTTTAGCTTAAATTATTAATACAAACATTCTCTCTTCCTCTCAATTATTTCTTTTTTTTGTCGTATTTTTGAAGTACTAAAAATTATGTTGATTGATTAAAATGTTAAGAAGTTTAAATATTAAAGATTAAAAACGTTTTG